AAACAACAATGCGGGTTAATGGTATTCTCTTTTCCTAGAGGGGGAAATTACAGACATGAAACCAATTAAGCCACCTTTCTTTCTTCGCAAAGCTGTTTTGGTTGTCCGAGATGGAGCTCTTCAGACGGTGCTTATTGCTAGTAAAGACAGATGGATTTGTTGTTCTTTCTAAGCTTTTATTAAGATAGGTACTGGTAGTGGGGCTGCCCAGGTTTCCCCTTCAGAATGGAAAGTGAACTTATGTTAATACGCTAGCTCATAAAAAGCGGTACAAAATAGGAAAACCAAATATTTTGAAATGAATGCAAGTATCCCCCTTGCTGAGGTTCAGAGATGCTGCTCTTGGAAATCTCTATTAGGGAAAGGCTCTTGGTTGCACTTTCCTGGCCATGGCATGGAGAAGCTATCATCCTATGATTAAGTGGCTCCAAAGAACAATGGCAGACTAATGCATGTGTAACTTAAATTTCAAATAGTTGTACTTTAGTCTCAGGTCTACAAAATATCTGCCACAGAAACCTTTCACATGTCGGTGTCACAAGTACATTGTTCAGGTAACTATGGAAACCCCCCAAAAATGCCACCAATGTGTCTGTTTCATACACAAATGAGGTGACAGCTGTGGAGTCCATGTCTGCCCCCATAGTATAATAAATGCGAGCTAAGACAGCCTGGGTCCGAAGATTACAACTCATTTACAGTAATCAGAGCTTTCAAATAACATCACAACGTCTGAGTTCGAAAGAGTGTCAATGGAAGGTAAGAAGCCACTATGAAAGCAAGCTCTACTCCACAGCTTTCAAAACTAAGTGCCCTAACCTAATGCATTTGTCTTTTCAGCAGGTGCTCTGAAATTAGGGTGGACAGCACCTTTGATGTGTACTGCAAGCCGACACCTATTTTCTCTGCTTCTTAGGGGCAATTTTTCAGTTCAGTAGATATGATGGTTCCATCCAAGTTAAATGTTTATGGTAGTTGTGGTACTACAAGCAAAGCTTTTACAATCCTTTTTGACAACATAGCCGATTATGGTAGTTAGTCCTTCCAGGCCTATTAACCTTGTTATGTTACAAGGGAGGAATCTCAAAGTTAGTAGATTAAAGAAGACACACCAGATCCCTTAGGTATAATTGGCAATAGTCTACTTACTAACCAAATAACTGGTATAATAATGCAAGATGATTAACTATTTATTATATCTGTTCTTTGAGAGATGGAAACAAAACTCTGAAATATACCCGGAATGGTGATATGTTAAAAGAGAGAAAGAACAAGTTTTAAAGTGAACTTCATTTAAAACTTTAAGGACAAATGCTTCTCTGGTGCTCTCTAAGATAGCGAAATTTACTGAGTTTAGCCTTTATTTTTCATTCTGTTCTTTGAGCCCAAACAAGAGAGACTACATGTTTTTCTGACTTCATCTGTATAATTTTAATTTCATTCTGAATAAAATATTAATCAAAGCTCTATTCATGAGTTAAAGATATTGCCATTGTTCTCAGAAATAAAAATGACTTTAAAATGGAAGCTGCTTTATCTTCAGATTGGCTTAACCCGAAATAAATGCTCAGCATAATAATTTAAAAAAATAAATACAATATTTGAGCAGCCTTTTATTAATGCTGAAATGAATCAGAGAATAACTATTTGTAGCTGAAAATGAAATTCTAAGAAAGAACTGTGAAAGCCTAGTAAAAGTGACACCCATGCCTATAATGTATCATGTTTTATATACAGTTTATGGTTTATTTAAGGTGGCATAAAGGCCTACAACAAGAAAATTAGTGTTATTTGTAGTTAACCTGGTAGTGAATTGAACTATAACTGTAATATCCGATTTATTTCTTACAAGTTGACTTTTAAGTACTTATACTCCCTCGATATGTCTCTGAGAGATTATTTATAAGAAGCAGAACAGTTCAGATCAAGAGACCAACAGTATCAGACTCTATATAGAGGCCAAGGGTCAGCCTCGTGTTTACTCGTTAATCTCAATTTCCAGACTCTAACAGGGCTACCTATGGCTATTTCTTCAGAACTATCATCTATAGTTGTAATGTGTTTGCATTTCTTACTAATCTTTTATATTAAGTACTTTAATGATTTTATTTGCCATAATGCATACTCAGTCCTTCCTGTATTAGACTTGTCCAGAAAAGACCTGACCTAGGGAGGTTAACAGTTGACCATTCATAGATGTATTGCTGTGGCACTTACCTTGATTTCAAAACCACGCTCTGGTAATCATACATTAGAGAGCTATGTGGGATTAGTTTGGAAATGCTGTTTTTATTTTATAGTCATCCCTCAGTTCCATCAGGGAGTCAGAACGCCAGGTTTGAGAGTCAAATGAGAATTCAGTACACCAATGTTGCTTTCTGACTTCCACACAGCTTCAAGGCAGAAATTGCGAACTTGGCTGTAACACTTGTTACTCAGATTGGACTCAATTCATTTCTTCCTAATTGGAGTAGACTGGCTTGTATATAAAGGGTACTGGGCAAGAATATAATAATCATAATAACAGCTTCAGAAAACATGTGAAACAGCATGCTAACATCTGTTGTCCACCCTTCTTCCCAATCAAGCCCAAAGCAATATTGTCTTCCTGTTGTATTTTAATGTCTCTTTTGGTGAATACATAGAACGTGGGGTCACAAACCCTGTTCAGTGAATAGGTTTCTTTCGCTCTTCAACAATGTTCAGGACTGACAAAAGATGGGTTTCTGGTACTGGTTTGTCAGGGGTTATAACTGCAGGCCTCACATGTGGCCCATGCGGCCCAGCTTTTGTTTCATCGGTCCTAGAGAGTCAGGAGGTGAATAGCATGGCTGACCAGCTAATATAACACAAGACAGAAAGGTCCTTGCTTTGGGAGTCCATCAAATGACTTTCCCTGTTCACTGTTCAGTACTGAGACACACACACATACTCTCACACACACCCGCTCTCTCTCTCTCTCTCTCTCTCTCTCTCTCTCTCTCTCTCTCACACACACACACACACACACACACACAAACACACACTCAAACCCAGGTCCTTTGCTAGAATGGGACACTCTCATCATCTGCAATTCTTTCACTCTGTCACCTACTGAACTCACATGAGAATGAAAAGACAGTGGCACTCCAGTGAGACCTTCCAGTGACAAGCACCTTTTCCTACATGACTTATCTCTCTGGGTAGGGGGCAAATGTTGGACAAGATTTAAAAAAAAAAATTGGAAGAAGAAGAGAAGAACTCTGAAAGTTGAGGAGTCAGTGAAGAAATATTTCAAGCCGCCAGAAGTGGATTAAAGTTACTGCCCGCATAGAAGCACTACCTCTATGCCGCATGCATGTATACACCCAGGTAAGAGCAAGTGGATTTGAGCTTCCCCCCATAACACCACACCAAGAATTTGGCTCTTGAATAAAGGTGTCAGCAAGCCATGGAATCCCCAAACAGAGAAACCCACACTGGGCCTTTATCCCACGTTCTTAAGGTCTATTGTTAACTGAAGACTCCTTGTCTTTTCAAATTCCTTCATGTGAATGGATGAGGCCAGACATCTGCCAGGATCGGCTCACATTTGCATGCAAATTAGAGACTTCATGACACACATGGCCCTGGAGCCTGTAATACCACTTCGACTCCAGCTTTATACAGGTCAAAGTAGGAATCGTTCTGAAGTTTTCACTTCTCCAGTTCCAGCTTTTAAAAATGAAGTCACGACGGCAATATAGGAATAGTACTAATTGCCTAAATTGGTAAATAGAATTGCAAAACAAGATAGTGTATTGTCTCAGGAGATTCTACAGGAAAAAGTACAAGTCAGCAGTACTTGTTCCCTCAGCGAATCTGAATTCCGTTATTTGTTTTATTATCTGGATTGGGAATGAACATACTAAGGACAGGATGGGATTTAGGAGCTTTGCCTACAGGGTTCAGTCACTCAAAGGCTTTGACAACTCTGATCACTCTCTGCAGCCTTGCCTTTGAAGCTATTGCTGTGGGTACCGCAGGCGAGGTCCCTCTGGAGCAAGTACTACCACGGAATCTTCCAGCCTGCGCATCCATGCCTGCTGACCGGCCACAATCCCAGGACGAACTTTCCAACCTGCCCAGTGCACGAGGTGCTTCTTGGCTGCTTGGCTTTTCTGGGGAAACCCAACCAGCCAAGGACTTTTCCCTCAGGTAGCGGTGACTGCGGGAACCCAGGAAGCACGAAAGCAGTAGGCAGCAGCCCACACCCCCTCTCAGTGCAGCACAAAGGACACTCGCTGGCAAACTTTTTTAGCTACTGACCCCGGAGCAAATGCCTGGAAGAGACCAAGGCTTCCTTGAACTTTCCACACCTATGACAAGCCTTCTTAAGGGACTACACCTTCTAGGCTCAAAACGTACAATTTTTTTCCTTCTTGGACCACATAATAGTTTACTATGTTCTCTTCAATGCTCTGACTTCAGTACTTTCAATGTTTTGTTAATTATGCTCCCTGCTCTTTATTCTTAACATCGAGGCCATTCCCAAGACCTCTTCCTCTCTCCACAACCTGCCACCTTCCTTTCTCTCCTCTTGACCCCATTCCAACTCCCTGGGTCTTCTATTTGCACGCTTCCCAGGCCCCAGCTTCTTCCCCTGTTCACATTCCCAACCAAGCCTTCCCTTCTCCTTGCCATTCTGGACACCACCATCCCCTGATGGGTCCCTGAAATTCTGGGGGCTCAGCTCCAGTCACTGCCTTTTGCCTTTTTTTTTTTTTGGTCTGAGCTGCCTTTTCAACTATTGCTCTTCCTCTCTTCCTGCTCCATTTTGAAGGCAAGAGGGTGGTAACTAGATTCTCCTTTCCCTACTTCGTCTACCCCCAACCCCAGCTCGAGAAACCGCGCCCCCGTATCCCCTTTAGACCGAGATTTCTCAAACGTTGTAGGGTCCGCTGAGCTGCCAAGTTTGTCTCTACTTCCCCCTCGCTGCCTCCCAAACCTTCTGTTGCGGCCCAGTTAGTCGGGGCACTTACCCTAAGGCCCGGCTGGTGGGGATGTTGGGGTGCGAACAGAGTGGGCAGCCGGTGGCAGCAGCAGCAGCAGAAGCAGCAGCAGCGGGAGGATGAGGACCGGCTGAGCAGCGCCTCCTCCCAACCCGCAGCGCGCACTGGCTCCTTGGGGGACCCCCGGCAGAGCACCAAAAACGCAAGGCGAGACAGCCGCAGGAGCAACAGCTGCTGTGCGGGGCTGGGCTAAATCCGGTATTTGGGGGTCGGAGTAGAGACAGGCAGGATTGGGAAGGAGGGTAAAAGAAATGGGGTTCAGAGGGCGGGGCAGCGAAAGATCGGGTCTCAAGGAAGGCGCTCTAGGCGTCTCGGGATGCAGTAGCACGGATGCCCCTGCCTGGGAGGACACCGTGGGCCCCGGTCCCTGCCCGGCAAGCGCTGCAAACCGGGGCGCACGGGCCTCGCCTCGTTCCGCGGCTCGCTGCCGGCGCCCTCCGTGCGCCCCGCTTTGTGCTCCCCGCAGCCGGCGTGCACCTGGTGTAAGCAAAAGCGGTCAGCTGATGGGCTGCGCGCTGATTGGCTGTTCAGTCGTCTCCTCCTCTCCCGCCCGACCCCCTTCCCGACCTCCCCCAACCTCCCCCCTCCCGCTGCTTCCCGCCCCCCACGCCCGCCTAGGCGCAGCCCCGCGCCGGGACACCATCTGCAACCCGTCCAACAAAAGGGCTGCTCAGCCCCGCAACCCCGGGTCTGCTAGACCGCTGCGCCTCTACCGTTGCTGCAGGGAGCAGCGAGCTGCTCCTTTTTTTTTTTTTTTAATGGGGACGAAAGGCTGACTGGGTGAGGGAGGCAAGGAGCTGGGGAAAGCCCTTGTAAGAAAGCCATGGGCATAATACGACTGCATCTCTGAGCAAGGTAGAACTTGGGTTCAGGCGATTATACAAAACTCTGACCCTTCCCTTGGAGATAGGTGATACTAGGTGCGTACAAACCCGCGGTGGAACTGGTTCACGCCCTTCCCGTAGGGATAGGACCCTTAACTGGAAGGCAAAGTCATTACCAAATTCTGGAGGCTTTCTGGAGACGATTCTGAAACTTTGAAACTACAGTTTTCTGTTAGGTTAGGTGTGAAAGTTGTGTTCATATTAGCAGAGGATTGAAGATTCAGACAGTTTGCAGGGTGGGAGATGTCTACGTGAGAGCATGGGTGGGAGGCAGAGGTGCTAAGCGCTAATTTGGAGACTGCGCCTGAATCCCAGTCTCAGCTTCAAAGTGGCAGCCCAAAGCGAGATTCAGGATAAGTCCTAGTTACATGGTATTGGGAGAATCAGCTTTAAGCCAGAGAGCATTATCAGTCGTCAGTATTGAACAACTTTGAGAAAGACAGCGTGATTTTATTTCCTCGGGTTACTTAAGCCCCAAAATTCTGTATTTGAAAGAATACATTATCACGAAATTTACATTTGAAGTCGTTAATGCTAGGGGAGAGTTTCAATAACAATGATCTTACATTTTTGATCCTTATAGCTTCTCCACTCCCAGGGTGTCTTGCTTAGATATCTGAGAAGTGTTTGCTTACACTTCCTAGTCTCCTGAAGCTATTAACTATTTTGTAGCCACTGGTGGGTCACAAAGTGGACCTTCATAGGCTCTAGGGAAAAGAAAGTGAGGATGCAGGATAGATAATGAATGAACAGTAGAGATAGCTAGACCGGGTGGGGGGTGGGTGGGTAGCATGTTGAGTCTAGACTAGATTATCTGTTTCTCTCTCTCTCTCTCTCTCTCTCTCTCTCTCTCTCTCTCCTACATGTAAGTTTAAAAGAAGATGGCTACTGGCTTCAATAGAGACCTAGTTGTGGCCTTTCAAGGTGACTAAGAAAGTCTGTATTTTCTTGAGAGTGGGAGAGAGTGGCTGCCACACCCTTCAGTGTGAAGTTCTCCAGAGGTGGGTCTTGGGGAAGACAGCTGGTATATAATGTTCGATGGTGTTGGGTGACTGCAAGTCCTGTAACAGTACCCAGGTTTTAGAAAATCCTTCCTGAAGACGGTGGTAGAGATCGGGCACCAAGGTATGAGGTTTGAAAACAGGTCAACACTGTTTTAAAGGCCAGAACTGCAATTAAGATCCATGTCCCTGTGGGAAAGTCACTTCACCTCCTTAAACCTTAGTTTCCTTGGCTCTAAAGTGGGATTAATCACAGTAACGATCCCAAGGGAGTGTGCTGGTTAGAGAGTGAAAGAAAGCAAGTAAAATGCTTGGAGCACTACATGGTGGATGGGAAGCATTGACAGACATAGCCAGTAGCATTATGTAGCCCGGTTTTGCAGATTAAAACAGCACATCAGGTCAGACAGGAGGTATTGTGATTTTACAACTTTCTCTTCAAAGGCACAGACAGAGCCAGCAAGAGAAATGGTTTCTGTCTCCCTGTTATCCAATTCATTTCTTTTTAAATCGGTGTATCATTTATTTAAACTGGTTTTCCTCTTCCCCAAAGCAAGGGTAAGAAAGGAAGCCCAGCCTACTTCTGCTTGATTGCTACATTTATTTGGCTTCAGACAGAGGAACATTAGGAAGAAAATGTGTCAGCAATGGGGGAAGAAGCTTGCAGCTCGGGGATGGTCATTGCTGTGACATGGGAATAGTTACTGAGGGCGAGGAGACAGATGAGGCTTGTTGATGATGAGAGTTAGAAATGGGACCCCATTATTGGATTTTTGGTGGATTCTTTAAATTGTCAACTGTGCCACATTTTACAAACTGTCATTTGGTGACTTTGCAAATATTGTATGCCCTGTCACTTAAAAGCCATTGGTCCTAGACATGAGGGAAGCAGAAACAGCAAACTAGCAACATACTCAGATTTGCTTGCCACTTAAATCCTCCAATGCATCTCTAAATGAATCTTTAGTGAATCGATCTTGTTCTTGAGGTCAGAATTTATTTATTGGTCCAAAAGGATTTGATCTTGTTATTCCTGATAGGAGCACTTGGTGAAGACTGGAGTCTTTGAAATGGAATGGAATTAGAGAGATAGGGATGAACATTCCCATGAGATCTGGGTTTTCATGTTAATACAAGGAGTTGTTTTTGCATTGGAGTTGGCGATGCTGAGACACTGTCCACCTTTCCAGGGTTCCTTTTAGTCCCTCTTGAGTTTTCTTTACTTGACACTGAAGGAACAATGTGTTCGGTGTTAGCCTAATTATATTGATTTATGTGATAAATGTAGAGGGAAAAGATATGGCACTGTAGATTATAATCATATTTGAATATTCTTTCAAAGAACAATGCATTTTGAGAACAAAATAGAAATATGTCATTTAAAACCACAATTTTTTAGACCTTGAAAATCTCTCTCTCCCTCTCTCTTTTTCTCTTTCCCTCCATCCTTTTCCCCTCCATCACTGAAATATTAGCAGGATGCTATTCTTTTCAGCCTCTAGACAAATATTCAAACAATGCATGTGAAACCTTTTGAAGTATGTAGTTCTTGTGAATTACGTTAACTTTCATACCAGATGTGTTGTTGGTCTAAAAATTTTGGACAACTGGATGTGATTTACTAAATATATATAATCCTTGCTCTTCTGTTTTTTAAAACTGTCTATGAATTCATTTTAATGTAAAAAGTCACTAATTGAAGTTTGTATAATTAAAATTAGTTTTAGCATTTAAGTCTAATTATTTGATATGAAACTAAGGGGTCTGAACATCTCAGTTTGCTCAGAACTCTCTCTATTTTAGATCAAAGAGTCTTCCCACTCAAGAAACCCCTCAGTCTTGGTTAAATGAAGAATGTGAGCGCATTAAGTAGAACTAACATCAATAGGTTTACGGTGATGATTACAGGTTTAGATGAGTCAAATGCTTGTAGATATACCAAATCGTATCTTACTATCGACGGAATAAAAGATCTTATTTCACACGCAGAATGTAATTGCCTTAGAGACCTTAGCTATGGTCTTTTCTAACTTCCTTCTTATTTGCCTAAAGAAACCAAGCCCTGGGAAAGCAATTCTCCTGATCTTTTGAGAGTGCCTACCCTTTTGAGAAAGTCGGACCATATACTTTTGGAGGCAGGGACCATATGGCCAGATCCTCGGCTTATGCTTAGCATGTAATTGGTACCCAGCGACACTTTTTGAATGGTTGATTTGCATTAATCCTATTTCTGCTGTAGTTATGTAACTGCATCTCATTGTGTCATAAGCATTTTCTTCATGTCATTAAAACGTCTTCTATGATTGGATGCACTGTGATTGTATGAGTCCATAAATCTTGGTGAGAAATAACAGCTTTGACAATTATTTTCTGTGATTTATGTTATCACACACATTCTTTATTGGAAATCCCATTTTTGTTATTGAGCTACAGACTTTGTTTTGGCTTATCAACTTAACGCTATCTTTAATTTTTATCATCTTTTACCTTTATATTATAGATCTGAGTAAAACAAATAAAAGGTTTTCTTTGCTTTTTAAGTTTTAGTTAGAATTTTAGAAATAAATTTCTTTGTTTTAAGTTGCTTGTCTTCTGTTGTGGCTTAATCTTTCAACTGTATAAGGGTAGCTAGCACAAACTAAGAAATAATGTTGCTATGCAGTACACCTAGAGTTATATTCTGTATTGAGAATGAAATGAACTGAAATGGTTAAGACCCAGGGCTAGTTTAGCACAACAGCGGAACATTTTCTCAAGTCATTAAGTTCTCCATGCCTGTAACAGTATTTATTGTGGGGCTTTGTGAGAACTGAAGGGGTGTGTGTATGTGTGTGTGCATGTGTGTGTGTGTGTGCACATACTCACGCACCTAGCAGATAGTAAGCATTCACTCAGTGCTGAGGTATTCATTAATGTCATTCTAAATACTGTCACAAATAGATGGAAGAGTCTTAGTGGCTTAAATAAAGCAAGGTTAATTCCCCCTTCTGTAACTGTGTCCCTGTCTAGATGACCTCCACATGGTCAACCCAGGCCCACGTGATTTCCACATTGTCACTTTCTTTTACGTTTTCTGACTCATGTCTCATCACATAGAGGAAGGGGAAAGAGTGAATAAAGAATCGTTGGAGAAGTTCTGTAGTGTGCACTACAAACATGACTCTAAGCTCCTCTACCTTCTAGCTTCTATTGGCAAAGACTCAGTTAAATAGCTGCACTTGATGATGAAGAGGCAGAGGTAATCATTAGGGCTTTACCTGGGCCTTGTGGGCTAACACTGTTCTTGGGCCTTCAGAGATGGCTCAGTGGTTAAGAGTGCTTCCTGTTCATGCTGATGGCCTGAGCTCAGTTCCAAGCACCTACTTACAACTGCCTGTAACTTCAGCTCTAAGGCATCTGATGCCCTCTTCTGGCTTCTGAGAATACCTGCACTTACTTGCATGTACCCACAGGGACAAGCACACATAATTAAAAATAAAATAAAATAAATTGAATTAAAATAATTAAATTGAAATTAAGTTAGGTCTTGGCTAAGTGCTAACCTAATAGCTATCTCCACATTGCCTTGGTGCCATCCCCAGAAACTCTAT